GTGGCTCGGGATTACTCACGCGCGCGCACACAGAAATTGAATATTTACTTTTGGCAGAATGTTTAAGCTGTATATATAGAGAGTTCGAATGGAAAAATGAAATTTTTTAAGAATAAAAAAACAAAAAGAAAATTGAGAGAGGAAGAAAAATTTGTCGAATGAAATTGACTTTTTTTTCTTCTCTAATGTACCAGATGTGTGATGAGCTCGAAAAGTCTCGATAAAGTGGTACACTATTCGTGTGTACGAGGAATTTTTCCGATTCCCGGCCGAAAAAGGATTCGCCTTGAGTCACCGCGCGCGCGTGCATCGTGTGTGTGTGTATTTACTATTTCTGCGCTGGCGCTGGACAACGTGCAGACCGTGTGCGAGCTTTCGGAAAAGGAAAAACGAAATGCTATTAAGTTCAGTCGCTTCGTCTCTGCCTCATCCTCCGCCCGTACGCCAAGCTCAAGGATGACGCTTCGCTACACACGTTTTGCCGAGTACTTTGCGGACTCGAGCTTTTTTTCCACTTTGCCGCAGTTTTTTCTTGCTCCATGAGCGCCAGCAGCAGCAGCAGCAGCAGCAGAGAACATCCCTCGACCGAGTCTCGTCTTTTTACCCTCGTCTTCTCTCGCGAATATCAAAGTTTCGACGCCGTCCGTCGGTCGGTTTTTGCTAGGCGAGCGCGTCGGAGCTTAGCCGCACCTCGGCATCTGGCCTTATCTTTATGCAATATGTGCCGCGTACAACGTATCGTGTGTCGTGGGCCTATATAGATAAGAAGGCAGCGTTCAGATGTGATACAAGTGCAAAATGTCGAATAGAAGGTTTGTTCGCTATTTTCTCTTTTAAGAATCATGATTACTTTCTTCAAAAAATAAAAGAATGCAAACGAACCGATCTCTCCACATTGGTCAAAAGCGGTACATCCTTTTGCACTCAGTGTTGGTTTAAGTGGGCTCTATGCTCATAGTCTATGATCGAAATATACCGAGGTTCCGGCGCGCATGTAGTTATTCTTTATTTAAGTAAAAATAATAATGTACATTAATTAAATTATAATAAAATATATCAGTCGGGAGAATCAACCAGTTATTTTTAGACTTTTAATCTTTTCTTTGATATTTAAGAAAAGATATTTGAAAAATTTTACATAACTTAGAGATATAAATTTGAATTTTTTCGTGGGTCTAACATGTAAGAAATATTTTAAGAAATCTAAAAATCATTGAATAGTAAGAGTAATTTTGATCTAGAGAAGAGTCATTTCACATTTTAAATGAAAATAAGAAATATTTTAAAATAATTGTGTCTTATTTCTCATTTTTTTCTATATCTCATGTCTCATACAGCTATGAAAAGTACATAGGCATTAATAATATTATAATAAAATTTCTTATTATTAATATTATATTATTATATAGTTAATAATATTCTTGGTGGCTTGAGTAAAGATCGCCATTATATAAAAATTAAAAGAATATGTGTAGAAGTAATCCTCAAATCATAGTTTAAAATGTAACTTAGCAGTTATCAGATCAACTGCTAAGATGTCCTAAAGGGGGAGAAGGTAGAGGGCAGTTTGCAATTGGTTCAACATGTTTAGATCGACAATAGCAACATAGCCGATGTATACATGTTATGATGACAAAAAAATTGAATGAAACTAAACTAAATGCAAAGAAACCGATCTGTCCACATTGATCAAAAGTGGTAATCCTTTTGTAGTCAGCGTTGGTTTCAGTGGGCTCTATGCTCATAGTCTATGACTTATTGATTTGAAAAGTTTAGCGAAACTTAATATGCATTTTGCGTAAATTTCTGCATTCCGCACAGTTAATACGACTTTGGTTCATACGACTCGCCAAACTTTGCTTTTTGTAACTTGGAACTTATAAAAAATTTGCGAAACTTGATGTATATTTCGGATGAGTTTCCACGTTAAATGATTGATCTTTTGCGAAATATTTATGGTTTATGCGAGAATTTCACTAAAGTTTTATGTACTACTCAACAAAATTATCGCAAAAAAAAGTTTCATCGAAATTTTGTCAATTTTCAAATGCTTCTATGTTAAGCAGTGAAGTCAACAATTCTTTCGAAAATTCTTGCTTTCTGTCCCCAAAATTCTAGTCAAAATTTCTGCTTTCGACGTCTAAAGAAAAAAGATCGCTTCCAAATTTTCTGCCCATTCTAAAAAACTAACGGTGGACGCACAAAATACTGAAATTCATTTCTCCTTCATTAACCCGTTAACGCCGAAACGGACAGAATTTTTTTCTCTATTGTAGTCTACAATTGAATCATCTTATCGGAGCGAGAAAAATTTTTGAGTACTCATTTTCTATGTAAAATTTGATGTACTTTTTGAATATGGGTTTATAATTAACCTCTGATAAATATTAAAAAAGTTATAAACAATTTACTGTGAAAAAACACGATTACGAATCTTGAAAAAAAACTTTGATTCAAATTTAAAACAGTTTAAAGTACTGTAGGTGGGGTTTAAATATTCAAAATGGTAGACTCCAAAAAATACACTTTTCCCAAGAAATTTACCAAATGTTCCAAAAAATGTGCTTTTTTGTTTGAAAACGATCAACATTAGAAAAAAAATTTATTGAATATTCAAACCCCACCTACAGTACTTTAAACTGTAGGTCATTATTCCACAATTTTAGGTATTATTGGCCACAGGTCAAGTCACTTTCGTAAAAAAAATTTGAATCAAAGTTTTTTTTCAAGATTCGAAATCGTGTTTTTTCGCAGTAAATTGTTTATAACTTTTTTAATATTTATCAGAGGTTAATTATAAACCCATATTCAAAAAGTACATCAAATTTTACATAGAAAATGAGTACTCAAAAATTTTTCTCGTTCCGATAAGATGATTTAATTGCAGACTACAATAGAGAAAAAAATTCTGTCCGTCTCGGCGTTAACGGGTTAAAGCGAGCCAATTTCTTTTTAATTAAAACAAATTTTTTTTTTTTTTTTCAATAAATTTTATATTTTTTGGTTTTTTGTACCTTTCGAGTTGCATCATTAGCAATGCCTATCAATTATTATAAATCTATAAATCAGTACATGCAGAGTTTACAACGTAGAATATATGTGTTATAATTATTGTTTTATTTTTTTATTTTTTTTTAAAATTATTATTATAAAAAAAAATTATTAAAATTAATTTTTATGTAATGCTACACATTTTTTTTTAATTTTTATATAATGGCGATCTTTACTCAAGCTACACAGACTATTATCTGAATCGATTTGTTTTTTTTTTACGAAACATTAGTTTTTTATCGTTTTTTGGCATTTTTAAAAATCGATTCTCTATTCTAAGATCATGTAATTGTAATGAACTACTCAACAAAAAAACAACAAAAAAAGCTCGCTCACGCTCGCTCAGGTGAATGGAGTTTGTGTTTGACATTTTGGGGAGCAAGAATTGTTTAATAATTTTTGGAAAACACTGTTGATATTATTACATAGAGAAATATGCGATTAAAATCGTGGCGAGAAATTGTACAGGAGCTATAGTTTTTTTAAAACAATATTATAATTGCTGTAATACAAGTGGCGCCATCAAATACTGTCCAATTACTTTTCAGTGTTTCGTTATAACGCGTGTGTACACGTACTTGTTAACGCTCGTCCACTTCTGCGTGTTCGAGAGATTGCCTCATGGCAGTTGTGTACAAATGAACCCTTTATTTATTCGTTTCACACGCGATGATTACGTAGTTACATGTTATATTTGTTTTTGCCTTTTTTTTTCATGAAATTGATGCTGTCAATTACTGATAACGCGCACGTATATAGATGTATAAAACATCATTTTCGGCTCGTGTCGCGCCACACACCATAAAAATACGTGCGAGAGGTAGAGAAAGAGAAAAAAAGGGCGCGAACTCGCGAAACGAGCTCTCGATGTAATCGCATAGCGCGCGTGGAAAAAATCATTGAATTCGTGATTTCCCGGGGATTCAACGACTCTCCGAGACTCGCATAAATACATTATAAAAAGCCATTGATTCGAGGCTCCCGCGCGCGCTTAAAACACGAAATAAAGATTTCCGGGCGGGCTGCAGCAGAGTCTATTCTCGCGTTCGAGAAATCACGCGTGTATATAATACGTGATTTATGTCCCGGTGCGAGCTGCATGTGCACCACCACTTGTACTGTTGCTGCTGCTGCTCACCTATTATATACGGACGTGCTAATACGCGAGGGAATATAAAGAGAGTGAGAGGCAAGAGTTAAAATCGTAGCGGTCGTAGCGCATAGTATAGATACGGGGTGGTGGCGTTTGATGGGCGATTTTGCAGGGCATCGAATATCCAATAAAATCCCCTAACAGGCCTCGGGCTCTCTTTCACTCTCTCTCTCTCTCTTTCTCTCACTAGCTCTTCTATATATGGCTATAAATGTACATTATAGATACCCCGGCCGAGCCGAGAGAAGAAAGAAATGCCTCTACTCGATAGAACCATTTATAAAGAGTGTTGAGAGTTTATGTGCACTGAGATTTTGGTATATATAGTACGATGACGAGCTTCGTCGCGAGGCGCACACTTTTTTGCAGGTAAAATTCTTTACATGCACAAGTTTAAGCGCGACAACGGAGAGACCGTAAGTATAGAAGTATAAAAGTGATTGAATCGAAATTAAAATAAGACAATTAATATACTATTTGAAACATCTGCCGCTAGATGACGAGTACTTTTATCTGTAAATTTTCAAGTGACAAAGTAAAAATAATTATAGTACGGTTTTGAACAAATTTTAGCCAAATGTTGCATATTTGTAAAAAAAACTAGCTGAAAAATGTGAAGCATTTCTACCAAAGATATTTGATACCTTTACTGTTACAATGAGAGGTAGCCTAAAAAAGAAGCTTCCGTGAAATTTGATACAAAGCCATAAAATAAGATATCACTAGTTTTAAAATCTGTAAAATATTAAATAACCGTTGGTCCAAAAGTGTCTTATAATACGACGAGCTCACTTACACGCGCAGAAGTTTCGTAACTCATAGGTATTATTGGACCAGCAGTTAATAAGAATGGTTTTGAAGTTCGAATCATCATTAAAAGAATCAATTGTCTTTCTTTGGCAGGGAAAATGTACCACTTGCAATTGCAGCTGAAAGAAAAAGAGTGATTTCTTTTGGATATTTAATATTATTTTAATTTAATTTTTACTTTAAAAATTACCAGCCACCCCACAGTCTATTGTTCGCATTTATTAATTCTTGACCTGGATGAATAATGTAGAACAGATTGCAAATTGCTACTATCATCCACACAACAGTTTTCAGGGCATAATTTTTATCGTAAGAGATGACATACAAGAACTGAACTTAAATTGTTGTTATAAAATATTAAATAATAAAAATTATTAAATTTATACATAAAATTTTTATCTCACCCAAAATCCTGCCAAGGTCAGCTCTATTATAATTACAATTATGACAATGAAATATTTTTGCTGAGCAAAAAGTTGAAGCACATTGAGAAGTCTAAAACAGAAAAATTTTGCGACAATAAAAATTTCTCGAAATTGTTTTCATTTTTATTGCACTCAACTCAATAGTTTTTTGATGTTTGTAAATATTGCAACGAATTTTTTTATTTATTATAGCCACTTTTTTCTTATGTGTAACAAGCACAAAACTGGATTCAATTTCTTTTTGAATTCGTTTCAAATCATTTCTAAAATGAAAATTAGTAAAAAATGTTAAATAAAAAAGTTTCTGAGAATCGAGGCAAAGATTTGTGATAGATATTTGAACAACTGAAAATCACCCAATGAGTAGTAATGAGGCTACGATAAACTTCCAAAGGGTCGTTTGGAAGTAATTGAATATACTGAGTATTGTACCCAACATCAAACCACCGAGGACAAATACAAATAATGCTAAATAATAATTGTCTTTTAGTTGTTTGGTAAAGTAGATGGGAAAGAACAAATCTTTTTCTATCGTTTTGTTGACAGAAATCCAACTGATTGCTCTATATTTTACTTCTGGTTGTAACGAGCATCCAACAAAAATAGTATACATGATTACTGCGAAAAAATGAGGTAAGAAATCATTTTTTCTTAGTGATCGACCATCGAAACGAAAAAAAAGTACCTGAATACAACATAGATATTGTAAAACCTTGTCTTAATTTTTCTATTATAATACTTCTTTCGTCTTCTTCTCTAAATTCTTTCCATATCTCCATCATTATGCTGCTGGCCGCAATTAACTGTTTTTGTTACGGATACATAGTAACCGCATGTTTAAATTAAAAATTTTGACGCATATTTTTTTTAAATTTTCATTTCAGAGTTAGTGTAGATATTTTCTTCAACGTCATTTTTTTAAATTATTAATAGAAGTCTCATTTACCTTGTCATCAAAGCTTAAAGCATAAATTGAAAGAACACATAATAAGAATCCACTGTAAACAGTAGCCTCCACTAATTCGTGGCCAGGCACATTTTTGTTTATCAAACCAGATAACGCAATGAGGACCTGAATAGAAATTAAAAATTTAATGTATTGTCTTTTAGTGATATATTATACATTTCGAATGAAATTACCATATTCAGTAGATAGAAGCCTACGCAGCTGAAAATAGTAAATCTTCCAAAAAGCTTAAGTGGTTGACTCATTAGAGGATCGATAAAAACCAAACGAAGTGATTTAATAATAAAATTTGCAGAAGCTTCAGGAGAATAATATTTTTCGGAAAACAAAAATTTCTTATGTTCTTTTATCATTTTATTGTTGTAGAGTAATGTATATAAAGATTTCACTGCTCAAAGTTTGAATTGAAACTAAATAATTTTAAAAGCCACGCAGCAGTTGAATAATAAAAATCGTTTTAGCCCATTTATTTATTGAAACGTAATATATATGAAAAATCGTATTGTTCACTTTCATTTATGGGAGTTTCAAAGCGTTCGCATTAAAAATTAATTGCGCTTGTATTATGCTACTTTATTACTAAATATTATTATTTAGTAGGTATAAAAACGATCGAATTTTCCTTCGATGAAAATAATACAAAGTGAGGGCATAAAATGTGATCTGGTCATCTCGAAGGCGTTATAATTATGCAAATATTACATTTTTGTTTCAATGTATCATTTTTTGTCGTTCTAAAAAACTACACAAATAGAATAAATCTAAGGTTATATTTTATGCGCGCAATGCATATTTTATAATACTCCTTATTATATTATTTTTAAAACTCAAAGTCACTTGACAATGCGATTTATATTTTTCTCATTACATGATTATGAGTTATACAAACAAGCAGTTTTTACCTACGAAACATACTATAGCACATGTATAGAACGTCAATTTTCAACCTTTATGTGGGCATATCTTCGGTTCTAATACACCTGAAGAGGAATATTTAATAGAGAACTTTCAGTTAATATTTATAACAGACCCTGAAAATTTCAGCAAAATCAATTTACTCGCCGTTGTTCCATTCTGACGCATAACAATATTGTTTTTTTGAAATTTATACTTCAAGCTTCATGCGCGAACTGACGACGTTATTTGTTCGCGCCAAGCTCGCGGATTTTTTACTTTTTTCATGTGATAGTAACGTTCTATTGCTGTTAGAAGACGATCGGCGATCGCTTAATGTGTAATAAATCGTGAACTAATTGAGAATAGATTTTTACATTATGAATTTACAACTTTAATAGTTTTTAAAATTTCAATAAGTAAAATTGCGGTAAAGAGGATTACTCGACATCGAAACAATTGAGAATTTTCATTTCATTCATTTGGTAGCGAATAAATCAATTTCATGCGTGTGGGCTCTCCGATCTACAGTGCACACAATATATTGAGTAGAAAATTAAGAAATTAATCATTACGTCGTGCTCATAACATTATTTTTCCTGCGATACAAGCACCAACTCGGCAATTTTCAATCTAAATTTATAAGTTTCTATAGCTAACGCGCAAACGAATTGTTTCAATCATAGCGAGAAGTATTCATTCATGAATTTTGAAAATTATAACGCTTGTAAGCCTCGCTCTCTCATTCGCGTCCTATATTAGCGATTCTTTTAAAAAATTTAAAAATTGAAGACTAAAATCAAGATTACAATTTTTGTATTGAAACTTATATACACCCGTTGGGTGTGTCAAGTCGTTTAAGCTAACTAAATGCCCAATTACATACTTGTGCAGAATTTTTTGAGACCATCTTAGGCCCTCGCGGCATTGACCTCGTGAAAAATACACTTTAAACGAAGAAATTTGTGGCTACCGGATCCGATTTAGTCAAAAAATGACTTGATGGCAGCTAATCAAAGTAAAGGGTAAAATAAAGAAAAATTCGTAAAAAAATGGCTTATATGTAATACGCCCGAGGGGCGTATATTACTTTATGGAAATTTACGAAAAAATTTCAGGGTGCTTTCCAAAAAAGTTTTCATGGAATCTTTCTGAAAGATTTCTGAGAGGTTACAAAAAATGTTTCTCAAATTACTTTTTTGAAAGTTTCATTTAAAATTTCAGGAAGCTTCCCTAATTCTCCCAGGGATGCTTCTATGAAACTATTCTAGAAGATTCAATAAAAGCTTAAAGAAAGCTTCACAGACACTTTCAAGGAACTTTCAGGAGACTTTCCAGAAATTTTCCATGGAAGCTTCTTGAAAGTTTTCTGAAAAATTGCAAGGATGGTTTCATAGAGTCATAAGTAAACGTTTCATCGAAGCTTTTAGGAAACTTTCTTAGAAGTTTCTATGAAAGTTTGCTGAAAGGTTATTTCGAAAGTTTCAGTGAAACTTCCAAGAAACTTCCTAGATACTTTCGAACAAGTTTTTAGGTTCATGAATCGCCAACAGGTGGCGTATACATAAATTTATCGAACTCACAAGTGGGTAACAGGAAATTTGTATACAAGTACTAGCTCCTTGACTGCGAATTTTTAACTTTCGAAGTCTTCATGAAGATTTTCAAAATCTGGGAGTTCACCGTCCTTGATTTCCTCTATCTCGCCTTGGCAGTTTGAATGAAAATTTGTTTGTTTGGGAATATTATTCCCGATGAATAATCGACACAGTACTTCACCGTGTCCATACTCCACAAACAAATTTTCTTTTAAAAGATTGGGTTGATCAAAATTAACCTCTTCTTTTGATTCGCGGATAGCGCATTCTAAGGGTGTTTCTGAAACGATATTCGTCTTCTTCTGGTCGACGATAACTGACAGAAACAAACTGCTAATTGCCTATATACGCTAACCAGCGCTCGGTTGCTTATAGGAGCGACGCTCGCAGGCAGACGCCACCTAGTGGTGTCAAACGTAAACAAAAACCTATATGATTAAATGTTCATTTATCCTAACCGCGAATTAACTAAATTCAATTAAGTATACTTTCGCAAAAATTGATCAATCAAAAAAAAAGTAGATTATGATACGTGTGACTCAAGGAGGCAATTATTGCACCACACTGGCTTTTTTATAGGACTATGCTAAATTCATGTTTCGGCCCCGTTTGGCGAGATATAAGGTGCTCATAATAGCTAGGGTTATCTCGGGTTTCTAATCGAGATTATGCCACGGTTTCTATCGCGATTATATTTTCAAATTTGCGTGACGACAAAAACAATATACGAGGCAATATTGACGGTTCATTGTAAATATACACCATGGTACACTTTTTCGAAAGAAAACACTAAAACACAACTTTCCTGATAGTTTAGAACATCCAAGAAAATTATTTCAACTTACTTTTTACTGCGTGACGACAAAGACTTGCACTTACACCGAAGTCGTTTTCGTTTGTTCTAACACTGAAAAAATCGGTTGTCGATGCAAACGAAGTTCGAACGACCGCGCGGATAAAGGTTAACGTACCGCTGTTTGAAAGCATGCGCAGCGCCTGCTTATATTGGGCCTCGAAATCGAACGCTTTCTGTGTTTTTAAATTGCTAAAAAGATAGTCAAAAAATTTTTATCATTGCTGCACATAGAAATTTGAGAAAAACTTATATTTAAGAGTAAATATTCATATTTATAATAATAAGCCGATGCAAAAATTCAGTTTTTGGTTAAAATGTTTGACTAATTTTTAAATTTTGACGCGTGACGACAAAGACATTTTCGACTATTTCTAAGCTGCAGTCGGCGTACTATCATTTTTTTATGTTCAATTATACATGTAAAAGTTAGAACTAATTGATATATAACTATTCTGTATATTTAAGTTACGTCGCAATTTTCAACTGTATAAACGATGGGACATCAAATACGACCTTTTCGTGACAATCACCCATATGCCCCTATTTTCGATCGTGTCCCTATATTCAGTCAATAATTAATATTAACAACTTAATTGTACGTAAGAAAATTTTTTTTAACAATTTGATGAAAATGGTTGAATCATGGTTTTTAATGTAAAATTTGATGTAAAACTCAAATTCGTACTTAAAAATCATACTTGCAACTTCAAGTTACTTAAAAAATTCAATCTAAAAGCCTCAAAAACCGAACCCTGTTTGTACTATGACATAAATAAAACTTATGTAATGTTAATTGTATTATATGTCGATGACATGCTCATTGCGTACAATAATGAAATAAAATTGAACGATCTAATATTTAACAAGGAGACCACATGAGATGCGGGTCACCAAATGTCCTGAAAATTTTTTTCTGGTCTCCTGGTATCTAATAATAAAGCCCCCTATGCTTAGTTTGATCCAATGGGCCTTAGGGCCCATTTTAAAAATCATTTTCTAGATTATTGAAAAATCTTTGTGATTTTCTAACTTGTAATAGGACATATTAAACGGAAAATTGCACAATGTACAAGCCTTAGAAATCGTCTTAAAAGTTCTGAAAAAATTCAAATGTATTCTTTGACTAGTTCTAAGACTTGTACATTGTGCAATTTTTCGTTTAATATGTCCTATTACAAGTTAGAAAATCACAAAGATTTTTCAATAATCTAAAAAATGATTTTTAAAATGGGCTCTAAGGCCCATTGGATAAAACTAAGCATAGGGGGCTTTATTATTAGGTACCAGGAGACCAGAAAAAAATTATCAGGACATTTGGTGACCCGCATCTCATGTGGTCTCCTTGTAAGTTAAGATCTGAAATTGATGTAAAGGATTTAGGAGAGGCAAAATATTGTGTCGGTATAGAAATCATTCGGAAAAACGGTACTATCAGTTTCTGCAATTCAAATTTATGAAGAACTTCAAAAAGATCTTTTGAGAGACGCCAAAAACGTATTATCGACAGATTTTTTTAAAAATGTACAATGAATACATATTTTTATAATTTGAAAATATAATTACGTTTTTGCATTGCAAATCATTTCAACCTCCTCCCATTTCTTTTTTCCCATTTTCGCGCTCTCCTTTGTACTTTATTTCTACTCTCTCTCTCTCTCTCTCTCTTTCTCTCTCTAAGTCCAACTCGCATATATCTATATCGTGCACCAAGCGCGAAGAGAGAGAGAGAGAGAGAGAGACATTTGACATCGAGCCCAGGAGAACTTTTAAAATGCAATGACGAGTCACCTCTTCTTTCATTGAGCTGCCGTGCCTCCGTCACTACGTCGTCGTCGTCGTGTTTCCACGCGAGACGAGAAGACACAGACAGTAAGGATATTTCAAGCCTTATCCTCTTGAAAGTCCCTTGTGAGGCTTGCCTCAAAGCGAGTAAAATCCCCTTAAACTCCTCGCGCACGGCTATGTACTCTTCTCTATACACACACACACACGTACTGGGCTATTCAACGAAAATTCATGTAGCTAAGCGCGCGCTTCGCGTCTCACTCGCGCACTCTCCCGTGTTTTCTCTCCTTTTTATTTCATAAACTTTTTGGTGACGCTCGCGCGCCTTCATTATACATGCGCTCTCGCACACAGCCTCGTGCATAATACAATATTTTCGCTTCTTTCTTCTTCCCTTCTTCTTCGCCCGAGCTTATAATAAACCGACAAAATAAGCACAAATTGCGACGACACGACAATATTTCTCGGCTCGTTAAATCCTCAATGGCGCGCGCGCGCGCGGTTAAAAGAGTACGATCATGACAAACAATCGCGACGTCAAGATTACATGCCACGCGCGGTGCAGTGTGTATTTATTCAGGACATCTCGTTCGAGAATCAAGATTATTACCTCTAATTTTATGAGTCGAGCTGCGTGGGCCTCGGATTATTATCTTATACTTTTATTATATCGTGTTTATTGAAAATTCAGGCGTTCTTTATTGTCGTATATGAATCGTGCACACAATTTAAACCACAAATAATTGAAAACCACTAAAAAAGAAAAAGGAATGAAATATTTCTTCCATAACGTCTTGTCCCAGAGCGAGCCTCGACGCGTCCCAGGTGAAAATAGTATGTAAGATCTGACTCCAGATCTGGCATTAGATCTGGTATAAGATCTGACAAATTGACGCCAGATCTGACATCAGATCTGATACCAGATCTTGTATTCGATAATCGACATCAGAACTGATATCAGATCTGATATCAGATCTAATGTCAGATCTGAAGTGACTGTATTGCCTTTAATTAATTAAACAATAAGTTTATAAATAATTAAAATTTTATAACAAATTTAGTTATATTTTAATAATCACATCGATAATAACTTAAAGAAAAATTCCTACAATATTTAGGTTTCTGATAATGTGAATTTAAATTGATTCAGCAACTTTTATTATTAAGATTTATTATAAAATTTTAATTATTAATAAACTTATTGTTTAATTAATTAGAGGCAATACAGTCACATCAGATCTGACATTAGATCTGATGTCAGATCTGATATAAGTTCTGATGGCGATTATCGAATGCAAGATCTGGTATCAGATCTGATGGTAGATCTGGTGTACATTTGTCAGATCTTATACCAGATCTGATGCCAGATCTGGAGTCAGATCTTACATACTATTTTCACCTGGGGTACGCAGCTTAGCTCGAGCCTCTTCAGGTTGGCACGGCCGTCGACTCGGCAGCGGAACACGTAGCAGCGCTCGCGATTCAAAAATTCCAGATTGCGCAGCTGGCACTCCTCGACGACGTCGCAGCCCTCGCGAGCCTTGCGGAGCTCCTCGTCGTGTTCGAGATAAGCTGAAAAAAAAAAATTACAAATTAATCGTGATTGTGCATCGTATACACTGAAGCAGCATTGCGTTGAATTTATTGAAAAATTAAACAAGGCTGGAATTAACCGATTGAATTCAATTTTTAATTTCAACCGGTAATTTGACAAGTGTTGAATTAAAATTATTTCAGCCAAAATATCAAAATTTCAATCCAATTTTTTGAAACTTCTACTGAATATTTCTTTAAAAGGCTCTATGGAAAAGGCTTCATTTGGATGTTCTTAGAGTCGCAAATGACAAAATATTCAGTAGAAATTTCAAAAAACGAGATTGAAACTTTAATATTTTAGCTAGCTTCTATATCCCCTTAATTACGTAACTAATTAAGGACGTTTTCGATTAAGAATTAAATCTTAATTTTTAATCGTTAGTTCATAAATAAAAATTTAATGTAGTTCGTGAGTTTAAAATTTCCTATAATATGATTTACTGAACGATAAAATCATGAAACTGAGCTTATTTATATCCATTAATTGATCACTTATTGATGCATTCCAAACATACTTGTTGATCATTTTTTTTATCATCTGATAATGCTTTCTAATATAACATGGTGTATGTCAAGTAAAATCATAATTAATTTAATTCCTCTTAGATTGTATTTTTTACTTTGAGCATTTAGAAATTAAAAATTCATTCGACATTAAAATTAGTTACAATTCCAACTAGATTTTTACGGTAGTACCCACGTTAAAATCTAACGTTGTACACTCCTTGAGATACAGCTTTTTCATGGAGAGACAACAAACCACGAGTAAGGAGTTTACAACGTTAGAATTTAACATGGGCACTCAAAATCTATTTGAAATAATAATTAATAATGCGCGTTAGAGAATCATTATAAAAAAAATTAGTAACATTTGATTCGATGCAGCCGAGCACGAAGATATTAAGTACTCACTTTTACTCTTGCACTGATTCTCAAGCATGTACATGTTGGCAAAGTCGATTCTCCTCTCGGCAAAGATCGCGCCCTTCTGGAATTGTGACGCGCGCGGTGTTTCTCGCGACTGCCGATGCGATGATCGAAAGAGACTTGGATAATTTGAAATTCTCGATAATTCGAATTCAAGCTCTGTTTTTAGCGTTTTCGATGTAAATTCAGTGTTAATTTACCTCGATAATTCGAACAATATCATAATTCGAAATTTTGATAATTTCAAATGAAATTTTGCATTTAGAGTCTAGATACCATATAAATTTACTTCGATAATTCGAAATGATGTTGAGTTCAATAAATTATGCGGAGAAAGTGGTAGTGTAAACTATGAATCGGCCGCGGCTTAGATGACATCGCTCGATAAAATTTTAAAAGAATACGAGCCAAGAAATGTTTTGTGCCTTCCATCAAAAACGTACGATTTCAAAGATCAACTATGTTTTGATGGTAGACACAGTGAAGAGCGAGTATCAATTCTTGTTGGCGCCAATATGGATGGAAGTGAAAAACTTCCGTTGTTAATGATTGGCAAAACAGTCAATGCCCGGCGTTTTTCGGCTAGATACTGGAAGTCAGTATTTAGCCAGTATCATATACCATTACTCAATTTGTGTTATCTTTTCCAGCACCCAAACAGTATTAGTCCATAAAGAGAAAATACAACCAGTGGCAAGACAATACTGGACCGTATTAATCGTACAGACATATCCTGCCTACCTACACCTTTGCACTTAATATTCAATAGAGTATATATTGAAATTACCAAGGACGGTTAAATAGTGCAGCTACTTTTCGAGATCAGTGACATAAAAAATCGACCTCTGAAATGAGGACGGGTAGACGTCGCTTGAATTGGCTGTGACGAATTTCCACCCCGTCAAGGTCGCTTAATTGTTGAAGCGTAAAACTGATCTGTCCAGCATTGTTGTCTCGGACACGACTGAATTTTTGCTGAGAAGAGGCGCTATCCGCATCTGACGAACAAAGATGTATCGATTTCTTTGCATATTACTGTAGAACCTGTTTACATAGATCTCGATTATTTTAATCCACCACGCTATCTACAAATTTGAGCAGCAAAAATTTGTCAACTTCTTTGCACAGTAGATTCAAGATAGAAGATAATAAAAACTTGAAAGAGATATTATTCAATACCTCTAATGGCAAAGTGTATACAAATTTGGCCGGACACAGTTTCAATAAGCCATGGTGAGCAACTTGCTGGATGCGGTCAACGTACTCTTGGATCCATTCATTGTTGCACCGCACTACACTAGTACATAATGCGATTCGAAGCGAATACAGTATCTAGGAATATACTACCCATAATTTTATTTAAAATATACGATAGGTTCGGTTAGAACTACGTGGACGAGTCTGGACTCGCACATTTTTTCGTGGTCTGCATGTCTGGCTGGTACACTTCGTTGAGAAATTCCTCAAACCCAGATAGGATTTTGGGACGAAAACCTGTGATTCACCGCTACACTTGGCTCTGGGCAGCAGGGCCTACTTGCAGATGAGTGCAACTGGCAGATGGACTACTATTTTACGCAAGTCCTGACCAGGTCCAACAGACTTCAGACATCATGGCTATCATCATAATCAAAATAGTTATTACTGTTACTGGAATAATCATCGGAATTGAAATCGTGGTCAGACATCGTTCAGCACAATCACGCATGAATTACAAAATAATAAATCTTCTTCGCGAACGCAACACTATTGTCCTATTCCCTGTGTGCTCTTCCTGAAATGGAGAAGGCTGAGAATATATTATTTCACTGTCAACTGTTTCATTACGAGCCAGAACCTGAAGAGAAGAGTTACCAGAACTAGAAGACTTGGATGCCGATACGCTGGGCTTTGCCAACTGGACCAACAAGAATGTAGCTAAATTACCGCTAAAAAGAGGGACCGATCTAAATTTGTCTGACATAAAGGGATGAACACCTCTGCGCACAGTTTTCGACGGTTTCGACGCCGATGGCACGCTAGAGATATCCTTCAAAAACAACGGTGAATTCAATCAACTGGTGCAAGTTAATATCGTGGACAGGATGGGTAGCATACCTCGAGCTTACGCATCAACGCATCTGTCATAAGACCAATTAAGTCATAAGACAACAACGGCAGTAGAATCATTCGTCTGTGATAGTAGTTCATTGTCACGTGTAGCGGTGAATCACCTGTTTTCGTCCCAAAATCCTGTCTGGGTTTGAGGAATTTCTCGACGATGTGTACCAGCCAGACATGCAGACCACGAAAAAATGTGTGAGTCCAGACTCGTCGATGTAGTTTTGGTCGAATCTGTCGTATATTTCAAAAAACTTATGGGTCGCATATTTCTAGATGCTGTATTTGCTTCGGATCGTATCACGAACTGGTGTTCATGCTACGATGGCCTGTCATTGATATCAACCTCGAGCTAGTCTTTCCAGCCGCTGCAACCCACAAATTCGATGATTCTAAACGCCTTACTCGGGTTTGAACGGAGTCCAAGAGGAGATACTCAATTTCTTCAGGCTGAAATATTTTTCGGAAAATCGAGATACAAGAAAGTACACAAAAGCTGGCCAAGTATGGCCAAGTAGTGTTTCAAGATCATGTCGCTTGATGTTGCTCGATCTCCTGGACGGTGGTTTGAGTTTCGTTGCGGTGTTGCCGTTGGCGTGTTAATTCCGGCCTCTGCCAAAACTCAGCCTACTCATGTCCGGCGGGAACTCGTACTTTTCCGTCGATCGCTTTTTGGCGCCATTCTGCAGAATCGGCTGACGAAAAATGTCGAAGGCCTTATTCGCGGAGTTCGCTTCTTCTTTTTTCCGATCCATGATTCCGCAAATTTCGCCAAAATCAACTATTCGCGTTGGTGGTAAGGATGTGTCTTTGACATTGACAATCTTGTAGATGATTTATTATTTTTAAGTATTAGATACAAGAAAATTTACATTTTTTATACGTTAAAAATTAAAAAATTGAAATTCCAAAAAATATTACGCATGAAAATAAATAATGATACTATTTCCAATAGGGTATCTGCATGAAAAAAAAATCATTTAAATAATTATGTTATAGTAAAATGTACGTATTAAGGAATGTGGGAGTAAAAAAATAAACAATTTTGAACAGTCAGGTAATTTTTAATAAGAGAATAAAAATCAAAAAAATTTGAAAATTATTTTCAATTCCACAAATGATTTTGATTGGTCCGCATAACTGTGACGTCATACTTATAACGTAAGTCGGCTGCTGCATGTAATTTGTATACCGTCACGGTCACGTACGTCACGTTAAGCCAGCACAGCTTCGAGCGCTTTCGGCGCGTTTTCGGCCTTTTGAAAAGTAGTATTTTTTGAAACGATAAATTTTTAAGTAAAAACGCAATGAAAAATTAAAAAAAAAATATTCATTGATACTTCATACATGTTGATTTCAAAAATATAATTACTTTTTTTAAGGGGGGAAAGGCACCTAAAATCTAAAAAAAAAATCTTTTTTCATTGACTTTTTTGATAGGATTTTTCCTCGGCTTTCTAGTGCAGTGATCGGAATTTAAAAATTTTAACTGTACCGTGATGTACAGCTTATTTCGTACCGATACTTTTACGATTATTTAGAAAAATTGAATGAAACAACTCAAATATATATCGCTGCCATTCTCTCATGAATCTCGAGACCAGCGTTGTCAAGAACTGGAGTCAACGATCAGCTGATCCCCGCTCGACTCCACAGACCTCGCTGTTTTACCACGCGAGGCGGCGCTGCCAACTTAGATCATATAATATATTATACGTGGTACTAAGAATATATAGCAATTAAATATAGCAATTAAGTAATAATTTTATTTTGCATCTTAAGATTAGAATAAAATTATAATAACAATTTTTTTGTGATTTATAATTTTTTTATAATAAATAAATCTCATGTAATCTACTCAAAAATAATACTTTGTTTTATTCATATACAATTCCTTCCTATGAGTTATTACAGTGCGAAGCAAGAAAAAAATGTATGAGAATAAAAATTATGTTTACTGTTAAAACTTTTTCAAATGAAATGTTAAATTCATTGTCGTTTATTCCGTACCCCGTGGAAAGCGTGCGTACCAGAGTGGAGATAATCCCAGAAAACAACAACAAAGTAAAAAACGGCAAAACACACAATCAGAGAAAAGTTAGTTTTTATGAGTGATACATATTGGTTTTGGCAGAGGCCGGAACACGCCAACGGCAACACCGCAACGAAACTCAAACCACCGTCCAGGAGATCGAGCAACATCAAGCGACATGAGCTTAGATCAAAACGTGATGCTGGATAACCCCTTGAATAGTGCGATCATCGAGAACCCTGGAGCTACCGGTCTAGAGGCACTAGTGATGACATGTTGGAAGAAAATCGTCGACGGGATAGAAGCCGCGACGAAACCATGGAGCAGATTCTTAACAACAGTGATATTATAAGAAAAGCCTTATGGTGGACAATTTTCAAAGATTTCTGATAAATAAAATTGAATAAAAATCGAAGCAAATGTATTTTTTCAAATTTTTTGAATTTATTTGTGTAGATTCATAGTTAAATGAATGTATTAATGCTCAGGTTTTTATAATTATGATGTTTTCGTGACTTGGCCAGCTTTTGTGTACTTTCTTGTATCTCGATGTTTCGAAAAATATTTCAGCCTGAAGAAATTGAGTATCTTCTCTTGGACTCCGTTCAAACCCGAATAAGGCGTTTAGAATCATCGAATTTGTGGGTTGCAGCGGCTGGAAAGACTAGCTCGAGGTTGATATCAATGACAGGCTATCGCTGCATCAACACCAGTACGTGATACGATCCGAAGCGAATACAGCATCTAGAAATATGCGACCCATAAGCTTTTTGAAATATACGACAGATTCGACCAAAACTACATCGACGAGTCTGGACTCACACATTTTTTCGTGGTCTGCATGTCTGGCTGGAACACATCGTCGAGAAATTCCTCAAACCCAGACA